CGCTGCTGGACCTCAGATCGTCTTGCACGACGAGGATTGCCTCATCCTGAGAAGTGTCCACTTTTGATCAAGCCGACGAAAGCATTGATCATCTCCTAATCGAATGTGTATTTTCAAGGCAATTTTGGTACTATATCTTGAGACAGGTCGGTCTCCACTCCCTAGCTCCACAGCCATCTGACACTTCATTCAATGATTGGTGGGAAAAAGCAACTGCAACAACTTCCGGTTTAACACAAAAAGGTTTGAACTCCCTAATAGTTCTGGGAGCATGGATAATTTGGAATTATCGCAATAGCTGCGTCTTTGATGGAGCAACTCCTAACATATCTGAAAGCTTAAAGTTGGCCGGTGATGAGCGTCGACGGTGGACAATGGCAGGGGCTCGTGGGCTATCCCACTTGACTGACCCCGCCCAAGCTGTTAGATGATTTGTTGTAGGTGCAGTGTCGCTTTTTCTTTCTTTACCGGCGCAAATGTATCTTATGAGATAAAGACAAGGGTGTGTGGGTGTGTGTTGTGCTAAGGGTTCTTTACCCCCTATTTCTTCTTAATATAATGAAGCGCAGCTCTTGAAGGGCGGGCTTGGTGCAAGCGGTAGAGTCTTACCGCCTATGACCGGAAGGTCCCGGGTTCGAGTCGCAGTCTCCTCGCATTGCATAGGCGAGAGTAAGGCTTGCCACTGACACCCTTCTCCAGACCCCGTACAGAGCGGGAGCTCTCTGCACTGGGTACGCCCTTTATAATGAAGCGTAGCTCTCCTGCGTTTTCGAGAAAAAAGAGTGTGAATTGGCTGTTATGGTGGTTTCACAAAGAGGCTCTATTTCTGCCTTTTGTTTTTGGGGCACAGGTGTAGGGATGTACTGTGCAATTTTGATGGAAAAGTGTGTGGTATCAATTACTTTTGGGGTCTGCACTGAAATATCTTGACCAGGCAATTTTTAGTATCTTGTGTGTTTTGTCAGTTTCAGTATCATTTCTATTTAATTGCATGTACTCGGCTTCAGTTTTCAGTCATGATTATTTAATTTATCGTTTTCATTTTTTGTTCACTTGATGCAACTAATTTATTCTCAATCTCACTGAGTTGTTGCTCAAGGTCTGAGCCTTTCGTCTCAGCAGCTTTGACACTTGCCTCAGCTTCTTTTAGCTCTAAGTTGAGTGTCTCTTCAGCTTCACGCATTGCCTGTATTTGTGCTTCAAGCTCGAGAATCTTCTGACTTGCATTTTCTCCAAAAGCTTTTGGATTTACCATGCTGCTCACCGAGAGAGTTCAGATTTAGCTCCAACTCTTTCTTTTTGTGACAGTGCTTCTGAGAGGACCAATTGTGGTTTGCTGAGACTATAACAAAACCCAAAAAAACTTCTTGGGGCCCCTCCCCCGTGTCGCTCCCACGCGAGCGGCTCGGGCGGCTCCTCCCCCCAAACCCTAGCAGCCCCTCCCCTCCCCCCGCGCGCCGCCGCCGGAGCTGGCCGCTGACATGGCCGCCCGGCCACAGGGATGGCGGCGGCGGGGCCTTTCTCCTTTCTCTTGGCGGCGCGTGCGGCAGCAGGCCGAAGGCCCCTCCCCTTGCGTGAGCTGTGTGGAGCTCAGCGGGGAGGGCCGTCGCGGCTATGGCGGCGCCGACTGGTGCCCGAGCTGGCGCAGGGGATGGCGGTGGGCTCTCCTTCTCCTCCACGCGTTCCCCTCCTCCTCTCTTGATGGCGGCGGGCAATGACAGCTAGGGCCGGTCAGGGCCCACCATGGGTCGAGATCCGGTGCCCGGAGGCCGAATCTGATTCCAGTGGCGCCTGGCTTCAGGCCGACGCGGCGGCGCAGGTGCTGCGGTTGTGGTCAAAACGAGAGGCGCGCGGTGGCATGGGTGGTTCAAGGGCGAAGGATCCGCGGTCCCCAGGCGGTGGGGGCGCCGAGATGGTGGGGCACACGCTCAGAAGCGGCCGGCGGCGAGGTCGGCTGCGACATCGGCGGGTGCTTGGGCCGAAGATGGTGGTCGGCGGCCTCGTCGTGGCGACATGGACGCGCGGCGGCGAGCCAGTCCGGCTATGCGTGGCCCGGACGGAGGGGTGACGGGCGATGCAATGTCGGGCGGGCTTGCGTCGCAACCGGCGGCGTCAATGCCCCTCTCAAAGGGCTTCGTGGGCGGCGGCGGACAGCGACGATGGCGGTGATGGCTGGCGGGGGTCCGCCGCGACCCGGCGTTCGTGCTAGAGGGTTCTTCTTGGCGAAGCCTTGGCGACGGCGACGCCGTTGGCTGCCGCTTCCCTGTTGGGGGCATTGTGTTTCCCCTCTAGCATGTCATCCAAGGGTGAAAACCCGGTCCACTTTGGACGTGTGACGGTGGTGCCATCGGCGTCGCTCCCTTCCTGAAGGCGTCGCATCTGGATTATCGCCACGGCCTCGATGCGAGGCATGGGTTTGCGACTGGAAGTCGGAGCTGCTCTTCGATGCTTGAGCTTTTCAACGATGACCAGTGGCGGTCGTTCCTTTGAACCCGTCGGGAGGTGACTAGTGGGTGGCCTGCCATGGGAAGTACAAGCTGCTGGCAGCTTTGCTTCCATGCTCGGCAACGATGATCCATTGCAGTGTGTCGTGTTTGTGCTCAATCGCGTCGCGTGGGGTGGTTAGCCCCTCGGGTGCCATTTTGGCTACTCGGTTAGCTAACCTTCTTGTACATTATTACTTTCTTTCGTCTTAATTGAGCGGCATAGCTCTTGCCTTTTGTTTCAAAAAGGACCAATTGTGGTTTAGCAAGCACATCTTCAGCCTGATGCAGCATGGTTCATCTTCAGTGTGTGTTTTTTTGTTCTGCAAATTGTTTCAGAGTTTCAGTATGATTTTGAGGTGCAGTTTAACTTAGTTGCAGCAATCAGGATCAAGTTTAGGTTTAGTAGTCTTAGTCTAGTCTATTGGGTAAAGGTTCTGGATCAGTTTAGCAATGAGGTTCAGGTTCAGTTTTGTTCAGTCTTAATGCCTAATTAATAAGTTTACTACATTTGTACGGTTTTGTCTCTGAGAACACATGACTGTCCTACTTGCTAGGATCTCCTTTTCATGGCTATAATTATATATCCTTCCTAGTCCATTCTCAATAGTGATATTATGATATAGCCGATTTTATTTTTCTACTGTAGTCTAGATTGTTCGTGAAATTTTAGCATTGATTTTCTGATTGCCTGTACCTGAGTACGAGATGTAATAAATGACACAGAAGAAAAATCAGAGTATATCATGAGCTTTGTTTTTTCGAAAAGGAAATGCAACTTCAATCATTTTAGGCAAAGTGCTTATACAACTTAAAGTTTTGGAAGTATTCTGGAAGTAAGGTGTTGAGATATCTTCACTTCCTGCATGTATTACACTGCAAGAAAGTCAGTTTGACAGGTGTAGCCTGTAGCTAATTTTCCATTACATTCCATGCTTGGGTATAATAAAGAAAAGAAAAGCCTCCAGGTTGGTCTGAACTGAATTGCCTTGGCGTGCGAATTGTCTGAACATTTTTTGTTTCTATTATTCCTGAGTTTTTTGTCAATTTTTTTTCTGGAAGATAACAACTGTAAAAATCTTCCAGAAGATAACAACCATAAATATCTTCCAGAAGCTTATCCTGTGATGTACATGTGCTACTTTTTTTTTTGGTTGTTGTGTATCATGTTACGTGGCAACTGCTCATTTGTTGAAAATGTGGAAGACAACAAATAGCAAAATCTTCCAGGAGATGTGTAGTCAGTCCCCCAAAAAAACAATTTTGCAGTGAACTTCACACTTTTGACTTTGCTGGGCCGACAGGTGGGTGTGTTTTGTCGATATAAAAGTGAAGTTTGACTTTGTAATCTCAACATAAATAAAAAAAGGAAAATAATAGAAAAGAACATTAGCCCAATCTATTATAGCCCAAACATCCCTGCAGCAGCGGGTAAGAGTCGTCCGGCCCAAACTGCGCCTCCAGGGCCCATTGGCCTCCCCGCAAAGCAAACGCCAGTCGTCCGGCACAAACTGCGCCGCCAGGGCGCATTGGCCTCCCCGCAAAGCAAACGCGAGGCCCGGCAGCGCATGGAGAGAGAGGCACCGGGAGAACGTCGGAGAAGGTGCGAATACCGAATATTCCACGGAGATGAGAGGGCCGTAGTGACTCCATAGATTCGTGAAGGAGAGGCGTCCTCCTCCCGCTTCCGCACGGGAGGGGAAGATCCTGTCGGAATCGGCATCCTCCCCTCCCTTCCCCTCCAGTTCCCTCGCTCTACTCCCAGCAACAACCGCTGTGGGGAGGTGGACGTGGTTGGAGGGAACTGCCGCAGCGGGAGGAGATCAAGCGCTCTCCAATCTTCTGGCAAATGAACTCCTCTTCAGACGAAGTACAAGTGCAAAAGAACCGCTGAGATTTTGTCGGAATTTTCCGTGTTGTTAGGCTCCACGAGTAGACTAAAGCGTTAGGTGTGCTGGACCGAAAATTGGGGGTGAAACGAGCCGCCCGAGCTGTGTTGCCAAGAAACAGTGGACCAAATGGGTTCACTGTTCCCTTTGTTGGTCTTGTGACGCGAGCTGCTTAGCAAGCAACCGAGGTGGTAGTTGTGCTGCCTCGTCTGTCAGGAGGGCATGGAGTTCCTATCCATGTCCTGGTTGTGGAAATCCACTGCAGCAAGCAATGGGGAATTGTTGATAACAGCACACGTTTTCCTCTCGTGTGCAATGTCACTATGTCAGGATAGCAGATACCTGAGCACATAACCTCATAATAAAATCGAATCACCTATGATTTCGTTTCTGTGCCTAGTATAGGAGCTATATAAGCTATGTAGAATAACATTGCTTCATAAGGTTCGGTGCTTTACGTCATTTGGGTGTTCATGTAGATTAAGATTCTGGACTTGTGCCATTTGTGTGTTCATAAAGACTAAGATTCCTGCCTTCCAATAATGCTTCATAATGACATTTGTTTTTCCCAACAGGACTGCCACTTGCTCCTGTTAGTCGTGAACCTTGAAATAGGTTAAATAAATAAATGGGAATCCATGAAGATTCTAGGCCTTCTGGGGCCCTGGGTGGCCTATACGGGGTACAGTTTGCGGGCCGGTCACTATACAGTGACGACGTAGCAGTCAAAACTGGCATTATGGATTCTTCAACTTGTGAACCGCAAGAGGATAATGGCTCGAGCCGGCGTTTGCTAATCTGGTAAGTTTCTTGCACATACACGAAGAAGACTGTTCAGAAGCTTGTTAAATGGTGCTTTGTTAATGATTTATTTTGTATTTGCAGGAGATTATGGCAACAGAGACCCCCATGCTTGAAGCCCATCCACTGCAGCCTCTCATGTATGTGTAACCTATCATAAATTCATAATGGCAGAATACAATTTTTTTCTGGCATCTCATTTAGTGGCTCCATTGTGTACATCTTATTTTGAATCAGGCGATAAACATGTTGGTGAAACTATTGCAAATGTTGTTACCTCACTTCCTTTCATTGTTCTTGGACTGCAAACACCAAGGCAAGCCCATGTCTGAATCAATAAAATCACTTCCTTAAATATTGTGTTTGATTTGTTTCTTGGTTGCTGCAAGTATCAACTAACGGTCATGTGCCAGTTGTGCAGAAAGAACTTGAATACAGCACTTTATGCTAACTCATTAATTGGAGTTGGAATAGCTTCTAGTTTGTACCATACTTCACAAGGAGAGATCAGAAAATATTTGAGATGGGCAGACTATACAATGATTGCCACTTCAACACTAGTAAGTGGAATATTCTCATAAGATGATTGTTGAAGCAGAATTCATGCTACTCTTTATGCATGTCCATTCTGGAACAACCATGAAAAGCTGTCTTTCAGAATATACCAATATCAGTCCGTGCTTTCATGTTCCAAATCAGTGGCATGCACATTCAAGTTCTTGTGTGTACGATCAGTACTTTATACCTTGTTGCATGGACTAAAGCACTTTTTAGTGATGTACTAAGACAGAAATTAGGATGGTTTATCTGAAGAATTTGATGTGTTGGGCATTTTGACAAGACATATTTCATGCAGTGCTTATCAAGAGCCCTTCGGGACGAGAATCCAAAATTTCTAATGGCAGCATCAACATTGCTCCTACCATTTCAACCCCTGATGGTTTCAGCTGTCCACACTGGGATAATGGAGGCAAGTAGTTCAAAGCTCATGGCATCTTATTCTGAATGCAATAAACGATTTTGATTATAAGTATGTTATATATGTATACTTTTTTTTCTGGATTTATATCATTGTTTTACCAGTCATGTCACATCATGCATCTTTCTATCCGTTGTCAACCTATTGTAACAACCTTCTTCACCTCAGGTTTCATTTGCCAAAAGAGCATCAATAGATCCAGAGCTCAAGATGGCACATAACCTACACAAGATGTCTCTCCTGGGAGGTGCGCTATTCATCGCTGATGATGTCTTCCCACAAACTTCCTACCTCCATGCAGCATGGCATCTAGCTGCAGCGCTGGGTGTCGGCACATGCAACAAGCTGCTTGAGTGACGAAGCATGCGAGATGCGAGATGAGTCCAAGATGACCTTCAACCTTGCTGTAACTGCTGTTATCAACAAGCTGTTGATAGCGATATATCAACATGTCCTCACTAAATGCTTTTCATGGTTGTTCCAGAATGGACATGCATAAAGAGTAGCATGAATTCTGCTTCAACAATCATCTTATGAGAATATTCCACTTACTAGTGTTGATGGTTATCCTTTTGTACCCGCCTAACTCTTCCTACCCGTTTTCTTGCACTAAGTCACCAATCTGCCAAAGTACTCGGAGAATTGAGCATGATATCCTGCAACTGCAAGCCAATCGACCGAAGTATAAAATTAAAACTATACTTCTCGGGCAGCCTAGGAGAAGGTGGTTGAAGAATGTGCCTTTGACAGGAGAAGGTGGTTGACAGAGAATGTGCCTTCGACAGTTTGACAGCGCTCTGCAGTCCAACATCTTCTATGTAAAGCGAGCCAGAAGAAGAATTTGCACCTTGGCAGTGCCCTGATCTTCTACAATTGTTTACCTCCTTTGAACGCAACGCAACCTTGGAATAAATTCAGGTATATAGGCTAAGGCTGCCTGAGTATTGCTGGTTGCTGGTCCAAGCCACTAGCTCTTACAAGGCGAAGCCGCCATCAGGGTAGCTCTACTGGTTTCTGTCAAATGGAAACCACTGGTACCCAGACGAGAAAATATGATGCTCAGTTTCAATTGATTTTCTGTCAAATGGAACCGTTTTCCAGCTTCTCTTACCAAACAGGTCCAGATAAAACAATTTATCTCTAAAAATTGTTTTTCAGCTCCTCTCATAGCACAAGAATCAATGTGAAGTTGAAAAATACTAGCTTCTCCTAGTTTTCTCTTTGCTTTTTTCCCTAAAAGCTGTTTTACCAAATGTTTTTTGAAAACAACTTTAACTTTACTAGTGAAGCTATATGGAACTGAAGCCAGAAAAATTGCTTCACTAGCGAAGCTGAGGTGTACCAAACAGACACTTATTCAACAAGGGTAGCTCTAAAACTTAGCAATATTCTTTAAAATAAAACACAAAGGAGGTAGCTCTCGACCTGACTTCAACCTTATCACACAGTTAACCTTTATGTACAGTGAGTTTTGTATCTATGTAGCATCCTTTTTCAACATGTTATTTGTGGCTTTCTTACAAGTTGTACCATGTCAGTCGTCTTTGGAAGCCTTTTAAGAAATAATTGATTTGGCCAAGAGTAAGGAAATTGCCATATTTTTTGATTACGAGACCCCACCACCAATATTCTATGACCCTCAAAAGGCATATATGTCCTATGAAGTAAATAGAACGAGTTATACTTTTAACATTCCTTCATCTCATGCCAGCTTTCAATCTAAAATCATCACATGTGTCAAGTGGTTCAAAATATTGATGAGAATTTTTAAAACGTCGATTATCAATGGGTGCGCATGCAGTACGTGAAACGAAACAAACAAATGGTGCAATTGTAGAGAACAACACGTTTTGCTAGTAGGTGGTGTTTTAACCATAGGGGCGTGTGCCCCATGGAGATCAGTGCTCTGCAGGAGAGAGACAATGGCTCCGTTCGCGTGCCCTTAAATCCGGCTTGATTCGCTTCTTTTTTCATCCGGAACAGTATTTTTCTCTCACAAATTTATCTAGAATTCCTCCACAACCATACCAGCCGAACACCCCCAATATGGATGTGTGCACGACAAGGAGGTCCATGCACTTGCACAATACAATGGAGATTCTACCGGCTCAACTTGTGAAAGTTGTACTACTGGAGGTCTTAGATATGCAATGTTTGTGATTTTAGACAAGGAGCAATGGTATTTCGTTAGATGTGTAGTGTACCCTATTATGAGAAGAAGTTGTTGCAACTTTCGATGGACAATGATACAGACATAATAGCCTCAGAGAATGACTTCTCGCCTATCATTTCAAATAAAGTGCAGTGTTCAATGCTTCAGTTATTGAGCCAGTGAAAGATGTGGCACGAAGGATGATAGTCTCTCCTGTTCATTTTGGATTAGGACAGAACAAGTTGGTTCGTGCAGTGTACCGATTAACAATTTATGGATTAGCTCAGTGTCTACCCATCTTGACAGCTAAGGATTGTGAAGAATGCCTCATGGAGTTGGTTAACACAATAAATATTTGTAAAGTCGTGACAGCAGGGAAAGCAGCAAAGGTGTGCTGCAATACCCCTGGTCCGTGAAGTCTCTCTAACAGTGTAAACTTTTAGACAAAAGAATAATTTTGCTCATACGTTTTTATCCCTATTTTATTATAATATTTTTGTTTTTACCCCTATTTTCATATCAGCGATTGACATTTTTTCTACAGAATTTGTAGAAAAATCGACAGCATTTTTTATACACAGTGAGGAAGGGGAAGGCAGTGTACACAGTGAGGAAGGGGAAAGCAGTGTACACAGTGAGGAAGGGGAAAGCAGGTTACCAGCAGCCCGGCAGTTAAGAAATGCAGCATATCTGTTACTAGCAGTCTTCCATACGAAAAAGAACATGTTTTGCAAGAGCTACATGAATTAACAGTTTAACACACATATTAAATCAATTCTACTTTAGCCACGTCGTGGAGAACAGAGATGCTAAATTAATCAGATCCGGAGAACAGAGATGCCTAATAACTAGGGTTAATTGGATCCATGCCATTATAATTTTCGCCGTTCGGAGAAACGCTATTACTATTCGTCTATTTTGAAGCATGTCATTACAATTCTTCGTTTCCCACAAAAATGTCACTGAATACGTATGAACACAGCCTGGACCCAGCTGCAGGCGTATACGAAGACGTATACTTCATCACCCCTGTCACTGACACGCGGGCCCCACATGTCATCATCTTCTTTCTCCTCTCCTCCTCTCTCTCTCCATCCCGACGCGGCCACGGCCACGACGAGCAGCAGCAGCACGTCGGCAGCCCGTGAGCAGCAGCAGCAGCACGCGGCCGAGCAGCAGTAGCAGCACGCCGGCAGCAGCATGCACAGTCATGGCGGACGGAGCTCCCGCGCTGCCATGGCGGACGGAGCTCCCACACGGCCATGGCGCACACCACGGCAGGCAGAGCTGGCAGGCCAGAGCTCCTCCGCCTAGAGCAGCAGTAGCAGCAGCCCCAGGGGTGAAGCTCCAACCACCGGAGTGTCGGCTCCGGCCACCGCGAGAAAAAGCTCCGCCTCGTCAAGTCGTCATGGGGCTCCACGAGCTGCTACTGCTTGCCCATTCCTGGTGGCGCCAGCGGAGCTCGAGGCGCGGGAGCTTCGGCCCGCCATAGCTGCGCGTGAGCTCCACCCACCATGGCCGCGCAGTGGCTCCGCCCGCCATGGCCACGCCGGGGCTCGAGGCGGAGAAGCTCCGGCCCACCATGGCCACGCGCGTAGCCGCCGCCGAGACCACACGGCCACGTGGCCGAGCAGCAGCCACCTCCTCCAGTCGCCCCCATCCCTCCACTCCTCCCGTCGAGCACACTGCCAATGGCGGCTCTCGCCCACACCCCTTCGATGCGCCCATCAGGAGAGAGAGATGAGGAGAGGAAGAAGATGACAGGTGGGGCCCGCGTGTCAGTGACAGGGAGATGAAGTATACGTCTTCGTATACGCCTACAGCTGGGCCCAGGCTATGTCCATACGTATTCAGTGGCATTTTTGTGGCAAACGAAGAATTGTAATGGCATGATTCAAAATAGACGAATAGTAATGGCGTTTCTCCAAATGATGAAAATTATAATGGCATGGATCCAATTAACCCTAATAACTAATATACTATAGCACGAACTATAGCACAACAGGGAAGCGAGCGGTGGAGCATGGAGCAGACAGTAGAGCTGTAGCCGCATGCCACATCCGGTTGCGCACGACGCGAGCTCGACCCGCCGGTAGGACCCGTCCACCGCCATGCCGCGCCCGACTGACGCTCGCTGCAGCCGCCCGCAATGGTTGCGTGGGATGTCGCGACCCATGCCCGCCTATAGCTGCTTGCCTGATGCTCGTCACCATCGGCCACTGCCCGGAGCAGAAGCGTCGCTGCTCGAGTCGATGTCGCGCCGCCGCCCAGAATGTCCCTGGGAACGGTCGGGGTGGACGCAGCCTGGGGCACCAGCTGCCCCTGGGACGCGAACTAGGCATGAGCCAGGGGGAGGGCGATGGGGAGGGGTAGCGCCACCGCCGGGACCTCGCCGTCGGGAGCCGTGTCGCCATGTGCTCCGCCCAAACCCTAGGTCATGATGGAGAAAAATGACCGACGCGTTTCCTCCCGTGTGCGAGCGATTGAGGAAGGAGGAGTCAGGGGCATTGCTATCTTTTCTGTCTAGGTTCCTTTTCTTTTTTTTTATTTTTGGCCATTTAATCCCAGCAGTCCAAAGGGTGTTAGAAGTAGGGGCAAACAATTGCTTCGTTTGAAAATAATGAGGGTAAAATCATAAATTTAAAAAAGAAGAGGTAAAATCACCATTGAGCTTTGGAGTAGGGCAGAAACATCAAATTCACAAGAAATATTACTACTATTTTTAGGATCACCAGAAAAGAGAGCAAAGAAGCACCAGAACAACCAAATGATTGTGTGGGTTTTAATTGCTCTAGTGGTTGCCTTATCGCTACTAATTAGCTATGTTTTGTATGATTTTATTATGTAGCAGATATTAATAGGTATACATGACAAGAATTTTATATAATATTCCTCTTAATATAAATAAAAATTATAAAGTTGTACTAGTAAGTTTTTTGTTCTGAAATGTTAGGGGGCCATGGCCCCTACTAGCCCCCTCAGCTCGGCCCACTGAGATCAGCAGGTAACGCAGCGGGTAGTGTCATGAGGACAGTTTGAAAGGTCCTTGTTTGATTTTAGTAATTGAGTGATAACTTAGGTGGACTAATGTATTTAAATGTGAGATACACATGTGATTAGTCCATATGTATACTTGTGTGAGCAATTCATGCCATGACGGTGAAGATGGCTTGAATTTGTTGCAAGGCTCACACATGTGATGAAG